AGAGCATTTGATGTCAGTTGCGGTGTGCACAATAAGTATCAGGTGGATGGTGAATCAGAGGTTGTTGCCTTTGTTTCTTTAAGGCTGACGTGATGCCAGTGGAATGTGGTTTGTTAAGGTTGTGTTCAACTCTCTGTTTGCTGCCATTCCTATCAGTATTTGTTTTTGTTTTTTTCAAGAGAGCAAGAGTGTGTGTGACACAGACAGTGAGTGGATTTGAAATTTTATCGTTTAGTGGATGTGTTCTGATCTGCTCATTCTCCTCCAGGTTTCTGTCGATTGACACCTCATCCACGCTCTCCGGGAACTTGGACCATCTATTTTGAAGGAGCCGATTGTGACCGTCACTTCTCAGCTGACACGTCAGAACTGGTAAGTTATTAAGCCATTTAGATAGATAGATAGATAGATAGATAGATCTTTTTGATGTCAGTTGCTAGTGTGTGTGTTCTGACAAGTTAACATTCTCTTAGGTTTCAGCCAACACTAGTTACACCACGGAGGGCAATATTTAACCATAGTGCCCAAGAACCGGCTGTAAATTATATCTTTCTCCTCACCCTGAACACACAAAGCCCTTAAATGCTCCTCCTCCCCTGTAATTAGTCTGTTTCTCGTATTTTTACATAAGTGAATTTTTTTGTTACATAATGTCATAATCTTATTTTTTATTTATTTTTACACAATGTCAGTCAGCCCTACAGCAGACAAAGCTGGAGCTCGGAGCGCGTTTAAATACCACAGAGAAATCTGATGAATGCAGCTTGATCATGTGCCAAACCAACCCACCCACTCCCACATCCTTTTCTTACAGCCATCCCAGGACCAATGCTTACCGTAAACTCACATATTGTACCTTGTTTGCAGTTTCTGGTCGTACTGTGCATTATTTATAACACATTATTTTAAAGATAAAAAAATATGTTTATGATCAAGTGATCACTTGAAGCATTGTTCCTTGTTGACAGACATCAACTATAGGCTGGGGAAAAAAATGTTCACCAATAGCAAATGGGTATTTAGACACTATTTTAGATTACTGATGGAGCTGAGTTTCTAGTAGTCTATGCGTTCATTAATTAAGATAGCAATGCCAGAAAATCCTTTTCAAAAGGAACATGCTTTAACAAAGCTAAAATTGCTTGCCCTATTGCCTATTGTAAAACCTTACCAAAAGCATCCAAGGACATTTCTTGCATTACCCATCAGTGTTCATAAAGCTCCACTGTGCTTTAAACCAGCTCTGCTCCCACCCCCAAAGCTGTACTCAACAATGCGGACGGGCAGCATAGCTAAAGGTCCCTGTACAATGAATGCGTGCCATGTGCACCATTTACACTTTGGGGCTCGCAAAAGTAGAGGTAGTGGTACGGTGCCTCTCTGTGGGAAGCTGGTCTCTTTCTCCCAGGCCTGGCCTGTGCGTAAGCGAGACCACTGAGGCCTGATGCACTCTGGAGCCGACACATGTGGCTTTCATTCTTGACTCGTCTCCAGCGCCCGCCGTTTCGCTCTGCGGTCGGCTGTGCTCTGAGAACCAGCAGTGGCAGAACCTCCCTAATTCTCTCTCCTCCTCCTCCTCTTAGCTCAATTTTCTCTAGGAACAGCCACCAGACGCAGCTTCCAGAAGCAGCGTGGACCTAAAGCCGAAGTTACAATAGTGACCACCCCCCCTACCCCCAAGTAAAATCCCCTGTCTTCTCTCTCTACAGCCAATGCAGAAGGAACCGGAAATTGTGACAGTGACTTTGAAGAAACACAATGGGATGGGCCTCAGTATTGTGGCAGCCAAGGTAAGAACTAATATAACTCCCCTTTCAAAGACTGTGATCTTCTTGCATGGATCTGACCGCTGTGGCAGTGATAAAAATTGATCTAGAGAGTAATTGAATGAAACCCTAAATCCTTCAGGGGGGCATTTGGGTTTTGGCATAGAACTAGATCCGATTAGTTTGACAGTTGATGAGAACAATTTAAACTTTCTGAGGATTGGTTTTTGGTTTCTGATGTTGGTGGCTGCTGTATTCTGAGTGGGAAGTAAAGGAGTGGCATAGTTTCCTAGGCTCAGGTCATAACAAACGGTCTAAACAGGGATGTGCTTTCAAGAGGACATGCTTTTGTTTGATTCAGTCACAAGCTAGTCTGTATGCTTGTCAAACATTCAGATACGAAATGGAATCATAAGCAAATCTTTCTGTTTCCTTGTCGGACTGAACGCTTTTCTAGTATGCTGCTTTCAGCAGAAGGAAATGTCTTCTGGGTCGTCACCCCTTTTACAAAATGCAGTCTATTATGTTGGAGTTTACAGCACAGTTAATATGCTAAAATATTACATGTTTTGCATGATTCGACCAGTTAAACTTGTCAAGCATAGAAAGTTTCGATTCGTTTCGTTAGTTTTGATGTCAACATTGCAAATTAAGGTTTTGTTTATACTCTAAACTCTTACTAGTTTGACTGATATATGCTGTTAGAAAGTGCTTTCAGATCCAACATGGACCAGTTTACGATTTTACTGTGCAAGTAAATATTTCTTAATTTTTCAAACTGGGTTTTTTCTCAGTGGGTTATATGGAACAGACAGTTGCAGTTCAGTAGACTGTCTTTCACCACTTTGGTGGACAGAAGAACGTTTTTCCCACCAGATGTGCGTCAGGTTCAGGGACAGAGAAGAGGCAAGCAAGGGAGGTGTAGAGGGAGGAGAAGGGGGTTAACAGGAACTGTTCGTTTTCATAGCAAAACCTCCCCTTTACTGCTTCTATTTTCATCTGTGAGTGTCTCTGAGGAAGTATAAAGTTTGGTAGAGGTAGAACAAGGGGAAAAGAAAGGAGAGAAGGAGTGAAAAATGGGAGGAGAAGGAAAGGAGGAGTGAAAAGGGGTGTAAGGCATGCTCTCTGGGACAAAGGGGTGGATCTAAAGAGGAGAGGCGATTTGTCCCGTTGTGGAGCTGGGACGCAGCTGGAACTGCGCTAAAACTTCACCTAACTGTTATTGAGTTGTGGGAGTTTCTCTTAAATAACAGTCTGGATGTGGTATTTTCTACACTGGCTTCAGATATTTGCATATTGTGTTGAGCATGTAGCCCAGGAGTTGCTCCTCAGTAGACCTGCCTGCTTTTGAAACAGTTGGATAAGTTTTCGTGGACCGCTATTATTTGATTCCTCCGTTCATTCTCGACTCCGGAGCAGAGCACAGCACCATGTGGTTCTCTGTGGTCGGGAGGAAGGAGCCGGTAAGGAATCACTTGACATGGAGTGTGTGTCTTTTTAATGTGGGAAAGTGAGCAAGTAAACACTGAGAGATTAATGGTGTGCTAAAAAGCACGGTGATTTTAGTTGGATTATAGTTTGCCGTCAGGATTGCACTTTACAATAAGGTTCAATTAGTTAACATTACTTAAATCATTGTGTGTCATAAACTACATAAGGCCCAGTGTTCATTAACGTTGGTTAATTTTCATTCATAAATACACTATTGTTTGTTGTTAATTCATTTTCATTCAACTAATGGTCATTTATACAACAGAAATATTTTAGCATAAGTAAAAATAACATTAATCAAGATTAGTAAATGCTGTAAAAGTACTGTTATTTCTTGTTTTGCTCATTTCAACTTTTTGAAAGATGTTATCACTGTTGCAAAATGGAGATCAGTTGATGACTTCAATCAATTTTCTAGGAACTGAAACATGTGCTTTTGACTATATAGATGCCGGATGAGGACATGCACGCTTGCACACATTAATTCCGGTGAATGTTATCAAGTGTGAGAAAGCAAGGTTTTGCCAATGTAAACAGAGTCATGCGACCAGACTGCACAAACATGTACGTGCACATTGTACAGGTGGTAATTTTCTCTACTGGATCTCGCCACACATTAAAAACTATATCAGTTTACGTACAAAAAAACACAAAAGAGTGACTGTACAGATAAAGAATAGTTTAGCAAGGTGCCTATCTTCATTTTGTCCTGTGCTAGATTGAGATAACGTTGTACTGTACGTTTCTACGTGTTCAAACTTAAATGTGGAAAAAGAAACAACGGTATCTTGTAATCAGAGTCACAGGCGTAATGATTGCAAGCTCTGAACATTGAGTTTTCCACCATGTATTGCAGTGTTAGTAACTCATCATCACTTGTTGCAAACAATCTGGCGGGGTCAGTCCAGCTGGATGGCCGTGCTACCGTCACAGGGCTTGATATGCTCAGGCTGCAGGTGTTTGTGTGATGATAGCTCTTCTGGGATGGTGTTGAGATTCAGGGGGAAGAACAAGGGAAATCCTGACCTCTGTACTTCACATTGACGAGTGCCTACCTGACATTTTCCCACGTTTCTGGATTCATTCTTCTTCAGCCCCGAAATGAGTTGTTGCCACAAGAATCAAAGCCTTCAGGATCGGTCTTCTGTTTTATTGCCAAACCTAACTTTTCAAAGCAAAACTAATTTTTGTTTGTTTGTGTACTTGGTTTGGAGCACTATAGCTCACTGACTTCCTTCTCTGTGCGCTTCTTGATCTCATGTATGACAACAATAGAAGGATGTGACTCCCATACTCGAGCCTGGATTTCCTGAGGACTCGGAGAGTGGAGAACAGAATGTGAGCCCTGCACGGAGTCTCTGCAAACGTTATGTCTCCTAACCTTTTATTAATCTGAATTGATATGAAGAGAAACCAGTATGGCCACCCACTGTGGCGGTGTGCCAAAGACTTTGTTTTGGTTCGCAGGTTCAAAAGAAAACATGGCCATGAAAACACTGTTCTAGGTATCCAGGACTTCTTTCTTGTGGTTTGGGATGAGATCTTTTGACGTTTGTGGGTGCAGCCCCTACTCAAGAACTAGTTCACTTCAGTCCTCAGGCAAAATGAAACCTGACAAGCCCCTACAATTGTCTAAATAGAGATGCTTCAAGCTGTCAGCTTGCGTTCATCAAGATGATCACATTTGTGACATTTCGTACCTTGACTCTGCATGTCCACAGAGCGGAAGGGAAGAGGTAGGGAATTATGACCCTTTGGACACTATTTTCTATTTATAAGTTTACAGATGTGTCATTCAAGAAGGGCTGCATGATTTTAGTACATGAGAGGACAATCCCAAGTTGTTAGTTAGGAAAACTTGGGGGCATTCTTATGTTTGAAACAAAGGATGTCAAGCTTGCACGTAAAACCAAACTCTTAAATTGAGTCGTGACTCATGTCTTGGACATAACTCTGTTTTTTTACAATAAAAGATTCATAGGAGAGACATTTCCCTTGTGTCCAAACACTGATCTGTCTTCTAAATGCACCGCCAGCGGACCGTGAAGGAAGGCAGACCTTTTTGTTTGTCTCTTTCTTAACTGAAGCAAGCAGCCCAAGAGTCTGCAGATCATTAGAGCCGGAATGGAGGCCACTCAGACGTGATTAAGACCGTCGGCTGAAAGCAGCTCATTATTGAAAGCCTCTTGTGTTAGTCATGATATTTTGCACCCACCATTAGCCGACAGCCTCAGCAGTCCATCTGTCTTCCATCCGTCTAGACGTGTCGGTAAGGACCAGCTACGTTCAGGAGCAAACTACTGTCCTGGCTGCTTTTTTCCTGACTGCTGTGTTTGTTGTGGGTGATTAATCGGGGCAGGAAATGATGATGGCGGGTCAAATTTCAGTGAATAGATGTATTTTCTGTTTTCCTAGTGCCCCGTGGACTCCATCATCTCGTTCAGAGGTCAGGCACTGCCTTGACTCCCTGGGGCTGTTAACAAATTACACTTGATCGTTTATGCCTACACGTGCAGCTCCCTGAATCACATCCACAACCGTAAGCCTTAAACAGGAAGCTGTGCGTTTGGCATACGGGTCCCCATACGCCACAAGTGTTTTGAGACTGAAGAGGGGTGTGTGAAGACTGAAGTTCAATTCTACCTCGGTTGCAAGGCACTCATCTTGCCTAAGCTGGGTTTCCAATTTCCTGTATTTGCACTGGCAGGTTTGGGAAGCTTTTCCGTGGACAGGAAGCGTCAGGGTGGGACCTCGAAGCTGTAGACTTTGTTTACTTGCTTCCATGTGGTTTTAGGACCTTCAAAGGAAACTAAGTTCTGTGGTTTGAGCATCTGCTCCAAGTACTGTTATCAGTGAACACCTTCAGACTTCAACACCTTCCTGTTAATGTCTAATGTCTGAATTGCAGATGCAAGCATATTTTTCCATGCCGACTATGCCAGACAGCAGCTTGCAGGGTAAATATGTGATTGAACTGTGTTTTTTGTGGTATCACGTTGTGTGAGAAGAAGTTCTTGTAGCCAGTGCTAGGCCTCAAGTAAACAGACTCAGTTCGTCCCCAAGTTTACTGACCTTAACCCTCTGACACACTGAAAGGCAAATAACCTGCTGCTGTGAAGAAACCTGCAGGGATAACGGTTTCTATTTTTGCTTATGAGGCATTTAGCTCCTTTAAAATATTATTTACAACACAAGATGTGTTCACATACTCACATTTGGATATGTCAAGACATCTATTAGCTGCACAGACATTATAAATGTCTTTGAGCTGTGCTCCTGGCAGTGTCCCTGGAAAGATGAGTGTGAAAACAACCACACCTAGAACACAATCCATCCCACACCACACGCTCAGTGACATGCACATATCTATCTATCTATCTATCTATCTATCTTATCCGTCCGTCCGTCCATTTGTTTACCTGTCTGTTATGTCTCTCATTTATAATTTTATCTTTGTCTGTTGTTTTTATATCTGTCCATCTATTTAGCTGTCTATCTGTCTTTTGTCTGTCTGTCTTATGTCTTTTGATCTGTCTATCTGTTTTTCCATCTCTTGTTCTGTCTGTCCATCTATTGTTTTGTCTTTCTCTCTGTCTGTTGTTCTGTCATTTTATCTATTTGTCTTATTATCTGTCTATCATTCTGTTTGTCTATCGCTTTGTCAGTCTTGTCTGTCTGTCCATCTGTCTGTCTTATTATCTTTCTATAGATCTGTTTGTCTGTCTATCGTTCTATCTATCATTATATCTATCATACTGTCCGTAAGGCCTATAAACCCTCAGATCTTAAGCTAGCATTCAAAGTTTGTCTTAAGTTATTATTTTAATTCCAATTATCCATCATGTTTGCTATCTCAATTAAAATTGCACTCAATTTAGGAATTTAATTTAAATGTTAAGGCTGTTCTTAGATCAGTTCTAAATGTTGCACAACCCTGATAAACATATAATCAGTTTAACTAACTTGCTCTTCAAACTTTTTCTCTGTCTTGACCTTAAAGGGAAGAGTGACCATGGAAGACAGTTTGCACTAGTGCCCCCTTTCAGCAACTCTGAGAATGTAACACATATTTGTGTTTTAATGAATAATGTTCTCATTTTGATAATGCAACAACATGTTAAATGAGATTTTGTGCTTGTATACTTGCATGGAGTGTTTTGAGTGCTATGCCAATGATTATTTTGTTGTCACAGGAAATAATAAACTTTAAAAGAGAGCTCAGTAAATTTTGATGACAGTATTCTCAATGAAAGGGTTTCAAATATGCTCTTCTGTTGCTTACAGTCTAGTGATAAAGCTGTTTCTTTTAGAAAGAAACAAGCCCTATCCTAAGTAAAATTGACTTCTTTAGCCTTCCAGCACACAGTAACGAACTCTGTGCCAGTATCACCTCACCCCTTGTTTTAAAAACAGTAGAAATTAGTTCTCTTGTTAACATGCATCTGTTTTTTATCAGTGGCTTTTATAGACCTTACTCAGCTTCATGTTCTGCGTGCCAGGTTTTTGGCTTTGATCAAAGCTAGTTTAACCCAGGTTTCCTAAGGAAAGGTCAGCCGAGTTGATCTCCCACTAGGTCTGCACGAGACTCCTGCGTCAGACGTGTTCAGACAGCATGGAAACCGCCCTGCCTCAGAGCTCAACCTCAGGACTTCTCATGTGTCTTTCACCGCAGGTTCACTCTTTAATGTGGAGAGACTGGTTTTTTGAACGGTTGTTTCTCATCACAGCGTAATACGTACTTTCAAAATCTAATCAGCGCTTTTGGGCTTTGCCAGGCGACATGTATCTCCCTCAGACAAGTTGAGACCTTACAGCAGTTGAGAAGCGGCTCACGTGCACAAGATTGGCATATCTCTATTTATCTCTATTTCAGTTTATTTACTTGTTAATAATAGGCACTCAGTGTCCAATGTGTTGCATTAGGTACTAGTGGTCGACCGATACATCGCCAAGGCCGATATATCGACCGATATTTGGCATTTTTCAAATATCGACCTTGGCCGATAAGTTTTTCTGCCTGGCCAATGTGTTCGAGGCGGGACTTTTATTTTGACGGCGCTGAGAACGGCAGCGCCAGAGCACACAGTGCTCACATTCTCCCTCTTCTTTGTTTGTTGTTGAATTTCACAAACCTTGCAGACTTAGTCGAATCCAGCTGTGAGATCTTGTGAAGTGTGCATTTGTATATTGCCTGATCGTGTGTGCTCTGCGTGACAGTCGATCCGTGCGAATTGAATCCGGACAGGAGGAGAGTTCAGCTTCACTGGAGACGCGTGATCAACTTTAAACTCGTTATTTCAAACTATGCTGATTTATGCATTTGCGCACTGTCATATTCATGTCATTTTTACTGCGTGCTGCATGTAAAATGAGTGTTACTTTGGCTTTAGTTGAAAAAAATATGCTTCCCAATGCACACAAACTTCCTAGATTACCGAGTGCCCTGTTGGTAACAGTGTTTAATTAAAATAAATATAAATTATAATTAAAATAAAAAATTTACTTATATATATATATCGGCTTTATATCGTCCATCGGCCACCCTGCTCTCTAAGATATCAGCATCGGCTGTCAAAAAACCAATATCGGTCGACCACTATTAGGTACTATGTCAGTGTGTTGCAGGCCTTGATGTCTCTTGTGAAATGACATCAGCAGAATTTCTGGCCGATGAAGGTGTGCGGCAGATTTCCAGTGTTTTTGTTTGTTTGCTTGTTTGTTTTAATGGTATCACTGACAAGGAAGTGCAAATCTATTGTGCAGTGTGACAGTCACAGCCAGTCAGAACATATTTGATGCCAAGCATTACACTTCAGAAATAGAAACCATACATTAATTGGTAACACTTTAAAATAAAGTTCAATTTATTAACTAGTAATTATTTTAATTAACTAATTTATTAACATCACTTAATACATTAGGTGAACAACACTTTTACAGCATATATTTATTTATCTACACTTTAAAAAACGATTTTTTTGTGTTTGAGTGTTTTACAAAAAAAAATACTATTTCAGTTTTTCAACTCACTAATTTCACATGAATTCACATAATTCAATGAGCTACTTGCCAATTCTTTGTAGTTGTTTATTAGAAATTTCTGATAAAAAAAATTGTTTCTACAACAAAAATTACGTGTAGTTTAATGTTAATTTCTGCATATACATTAATATGTTAACTTATAAATAATAAATATATTGTGAACTAACATGAATAACAATGAACAATGGTATATAAATATTCATTTTATTAGTAAATTTTTATATATTAAATATTAATGCAGCAATTCATATAAATCAGTATTAAATTTATTCTATATTATTTATTTATTAAACCAATACAAATACAGTCATATCTATATTATTGTTCAGTGTTAATTCATGTTCATTGTTAGTTAGGGATTTCTAATGCATGTACTGATGTTAACAAATTGAACTGTTTCAGTATTAGTTTCATTAAACCAATAATTAAATGATCTCCTTAACTTTAGGCGCTTGTAATGTAGCTAAATGTTTCAAGTAGCTTTCCAAAACTTGGTTAGTATTATCGCTGATCCTTTGGAATACCCCCACCCCATTTGTTGTGTATACTCCCTATGAGGAGGGACCATTGTCCAGGATAATATCTTATCGCCCTCACAACATACAGGAAAGAAGTTACTTGTGCTGTAGTCATCAGAGCACAAAGCGGTAGGTAGTTTTTACACATCTGCACCACAAGATGATTTATGACATCTGATTGCATATTTTTACATTACTGTTTTCCTTATTTCATCACCTGTTCTCACAGTAGACTGGTTTTGTAGCATTTTGATGGTGTTATTGCGTTATTGTCTTTTGAATGTGATGTGCATGCAAATTTCTGTATTTGGTGACCCCACCCTTGATTTAATGCTGTAGGTTCTGTGGAACTTAGTGCTTTTTCTTTTTTTTACTTTTTTAGACTGTAAAGAATGTTAAAATTCAGTTTGGCCGATTGCTTTATAACTGGCATGACCTGTTGATATTTTCCTTATATTTGTGGTTAAATCCTGAACGTTAACTGAGATTTTGTTGTAATGTTTTTGAAAGAAGTCTCTTATGCTCACCAAGGCTGCATTTATTTGATCAGAAACACAGTAAAAACAGCAATATTGCAAAATATTTTTCTATTTTATATAATAAGTGTTCTATTTTAAAATATTATAAAATGTCATGTATTCCTGTGATATAAAGCTGACTTTTCTTTACTGTCACTTTTGACAAATTTTTGAACAAAAAAGCAAAAACAAAATCTTAATGTCTCTACACTTTTGTTTAGTCTTCTCAAATCATATGATAAGGTTTCTGTACAACGACAGATATTTATTAGGTGAAAATATTTCAAATTGTGCACATATTCAAATATGGTGCCTCTAGACACTTTCCACCTGGTTTCACGTTGTTGGTTCTTTTGTGTTTTATGTGTTTATTATTAATTCAAATATACACAAACGAGTGAAGTATTCAATTTTCTCTTTTCTTGTGAACAGTTCCTAAGACAAAAAATTGCATTTAGGTCACAGTGCTGGTTTTGTTATATTTGTGCAGATGTGAGGATTTGTCAGGTGGATGAGTATGAGCAGTTTGTGTTTCTGTATGAGAAAACAGCTGAGATGGCTGGGAATGTAATACAGACCTCACATTTTTATAGTTAATTTTTAGCATGATCCCCCTCAAATAGAACCTCTGGCAGCAGCCAGGGGATTTTGGGTACTTGCTTGCTCAAATAGCAAATCCAGCCATTGGAAAAAACAAATGATACTAACTTGAAACCGCAGTCCTTAAACAAACCCCTTTAAAGCTCATGTCAGTGGTGCTCCGTCAGCTTAAAGCTTTGAACAGACCATTTAACGTGCAGAGTTATGGAGCATTACGTGTTAGAAATGTTATGTTTGAGTGTTGAAACTTGTATGGCATTACTATTTCAAGTCTGCAGGAAGGGCTTCAATGAATGCATCATTTTATCTTGAAGTTAATTACTAGATTTTATTTTGAAAGATGCTTCTCTAGCATGCAGTTGCATTTAGGCTGAGCTGATATCTCAATGGGTGCACAGTCCAGCAGGCAGATGGCCCGTGTCAGATGATGACCTCTGACCCAGGATATAGGATGAAGAATTTTGAGAGGGTTAATCATGGCTAGTTTGAACAAAAACTACTTCAGATCTGCTCTGAATTTATGAATGAGTTTATTTATATGAATGTCTTCACTGCTGGCTCCAGATTTATAGTCTTTCATGAATGAGCGCCTGGTTTCTTTGTCCAGCAGTTTCCACAGCGGAACTAGTGAAGCCTGTAAATGACATTTAGATCTTTCCCAGAGTGCTAATAATCTTTCTTTTCTGTTATTTAGGGTGCCGGACAGGACAAACTTGGCATTTACATCAAGTCTGTTGTCAAAGGAGGTGCGGCAGACGTGGTGAGTTCGGTTTGATTTATATTGTGATGTTCTTTATGGGCAAATGCAGATGCTGTGACCTCATTTCTTCAGAAACCACTAAGTGTGATTTATCATACTTACTAGTGCTATTGAAAGTACTCGGTACTACAGGTGCATTTCAATAAATTAGAATGTCGTGGAAAAGTTCATTTATTTCAGTAATTCAACTCAAATTGTGAAACTCGTGTATTAAATAAATTCAGTGCACACAGACTGAAGTAGTTTAAGTCTTTGGTTCTTTTAATTGTGATGATTTTGGCTCACATTTAACAAAAACCCACCAATTCACTATCTCAACAAATTAGAATACTTCATAAGAATTCACTTCACAATTTCAGTTGAATTACTGAAATAAATGAACTTTTCCACGACATTCTAATTTATTGAGATGCACCTGTATTTTTGGAGTTGAAGCTGTAAAATCTGTAAAATATATATTTTTTTCTTTCATAAAAAGTACAAATCTAGTTCAACCTTGCCGTTTAATGACTGTTTGAGTCTTGTTTTTGAATGTTTCTCTTTAGGATGGGCGTCTGGCTGCAGGAGACCAGTTGCTCAGCGTGGATGGGCGAAGTCTGGTCGGCCTCTCACAAGAGAGGTAATTCTGTAGCATTTGGACTAGGGCTGCACGATAAATCGCATGCGATATTTAACGCGCATCTTGTCAGAAAGCCGGTTCTGTAATCAGCGGTAAATCTCCATCACGTGCGTGCTTTCACATTGAGCAGCATTAACTACACAGAGCCGCTGTTCACTGACGAGCT